TTGCTCCCGTCTGCCCGGGCCTCGTGCCCAAGGTGCGCTCAGTCAAGCGCCCAGGCGCCGCCTCCAGGAGCCTGCTACTGCATGAGGCCCAGATCCTGGCACTGGCAGGAGAGGCAGAGCAGGGGGAGGGGTCCATCGTCCATGCTCTAGCACAGACTTTCTGTGTGACTTCGGGCAAGTTACTTAAATTTCACATGCCTCAGTTTCACCATGTTTAAAATACATAACCTTCTTTCAAACGTGTTGTGGAATTTTTGGCTTTCCATTGGCATGGACAAATGATTGTTAGAAAATAGCAGTTCAGTCCTGATCCAGTAAAATACTGAAGGAATCTCAACTTTCTCATTTAGAATGTGACTACTCCTTTTGACTTGAGTGGAATTATTCCATTATTTGGCCTAATTTGTTTTGTATAGGTCCATGATAGCTGTTTTCAAGTATCTAAAAAGGTCTTACAAAGAGGAGGGAAAAATTGTTCTCCTTGGCCGCTCCCTTCCACCTGGAGCTGAGGTGGAGGGAGTGGGGAGGAGGCGCCCCCTTTTCCCAACGCTGCCCCTTGATCCTCTCATGCTTCCCCCGGTGGCGAGGCCGCAGGCAAGGGGAGGGGATGAGCACTCTGTATTCACAAATAAAAACTTAAATAATTAAAATACATAAAAATTAAAATAATTTAAAAAATTGTTTAAGAATTTTTGAATTAAATCAAAATATAACACCCCCTCCCCCACCCAACTGTACCCTTGTGGCTAGGGTTGCCAGGTGTCCGGTTTTTTACCGGACAGTCCGGTATTTGTGCTCTCTGCCCGGTAAAAAAAATTACCAGGCAGGGTGGGGTTTTAGCCTGCGTGTTCGGTATTTTTTGGGAGAGCATCTGGCAACCCTACTTGCAGCCCGTAGCTGTTTTCTTTGGAGTAATATGGCCCTCACCGCTTTCCGAGTTGTGCAGGCCTGTGTTAGTCTATAACAGTGTCTCGCACCCGCCCCTGGAATTTCTTCATGCCCCCCCAGTTTGTGAACCCATGGTCTATAAAGTGCTACCAGACCATTTGTTGTTTTTTAAGTTTATCCTGTACAGCCTAACTTAACTACCCCCTGAAGCTTCCAAAATATATAGAATCATGAGTTTTCGTGGGTAAAACCCACTAAGACAGGATCATGTGAACCTTAGACCAGCGGCTCTCAACCTTTCCAGACTACTGTACTCCTTTCAGGAGTCTGATTGGTCTTGTGTACCCCCAAGTTTCACCTTACTTAAAAGCTACTTGCTTATAAAATCAGACAAAAAAACAGAAGTGTCACAGCGCAATAGTACTGAAAAATTGCTGACGCTCTAACTTTACCATAAAATAAATCAACTGGCATATAAATATTGTACTTAGATTTTATCATATAGAGCAATATGAACAAGTCATCATATGAAATTTTAGTTTGTTCTGACTTCTCTAGTGCTTTTTATGTAGCCTGTTGTATAACTAGGCAAATACAGTAATTCCTCATTTAACATGGTAGATACGTTTCAGAAAATGATTGTGCTAAGTGAAAACGTGTTATGCGGGGTCAATTTTCCCATTGAAAATAATGGAAAAGCTGGGGGTTGCATTTTGCTCGCGGCTCCTGCCTGCACTTGTTAGCAGCTGGGACCGGGACATACGGTTGGGGGAGAAAGGGACTGGGTTATAGCAGGGAGGGGAGGTGTTTGACTCTGTGGAAGGAAAGAGGAGGACGGGGAGGGGGCTTGCAGCCGGGCTGAGTTTCCCCAGCTGGCTGGGCTTCCCCTGCCTCCTTGCAAAGCGGCGGTGGTTTGCCACTCGCCGCGCTGTTTCCCAGCGACCCCTCCTCGCTGGACCCAAGGAGGCAGGGGAAGCCCCGCGCAGCTGCCGGCGACCAGCCAGCTGGGGAAACCCAGTTGCTGGCTATAAGTGGTGGGCGGAGGAAAGGGAGCGAGGCATCCAGCCAGAGGGGATCGCAAGGGAACGGCACAGTGAGCGGCGAATCTCTGCCGCTTTGCAGGGAGGCAGGGGAAGCCCCGCGCAGCTGCCGGCCGCTGGCCGGTGTAGCGAGCAAAACACTAACTTCTCAGAATTTGCTACTTTGGGTGCACTGAGCATGCGCACCCGAACTGAGCAAACTCAGTGTCCCTCGCTGTAGCCGCTGCCCTCTCTCTGCCCTCACTGCCTCCTCAGATTTGCTTCCTCCTCTTTGGAGGTGTTTAAAATGATGAAGGGGGGCAAATTGCAGGGGTGTGTGTGTCTGGTCAGGGAAATCGTGTTATTGCGGGGACAGTGGTGTTGTTCGAAAAATGTTCCCTAAGAAAAAAAATCGTGCTATTGAGAAAACGTGTTAAGTGGGCACGTGTTAAGCGAGGAACTACTGTATCTAGATCAGCTGAAAGTATTTAGTCTTTAAAGTGCTACTTACTTTTTTCCCCTTTTGTTTTACCAAGATCAGACTAACACCGCTTTCCCCCTCCCCCACGAAGACCTCTGCATTCCTCCAAGGGTTGAGAGCCACCATTCCTGACCAATCTGTTCTAAAACACTTCCAATGATCTTCTTTGGAAAAACTGCAGCGTTTAATTATCTTTATTGTAGTTAAGTTTTTCCTAATATTGAATTATCCCCTGCTTATTAAGCCTACTGCTTCCTGCCCTACCTTCTGTGGACATAGAGAACAAGTGACAATAGTCTTCTTTGTAACAGGTTTTAACATACCTGAAGACAGTTCAGCTCATTCAGACACAAAGTTATTTGACAAAAAACAACAAAAAAACCCATTGCCCCGAGGAATATTCACGTCACTGCTGTTGTCAGAAGTGGCCATAATGACACTGGCGCACAATTAAAACAACCTGCCTAAAGTGTGCACTGCCCTAAAACAGTTCCCACTAAACAGCCCTTGTGTATGATTTTTGAAAATACGGTGACATGGCACAGCAGTTTATTAGGATTTCTGTGTGCTGTATTTGGGGTGGGGAAGGCTCTAGCTCCCGAATGCCACACCCCTTAAAACAAACTGCTCAAGCAATATAGTCACAGGAACAACTCTGCACACTTCCCATCAGCAACCAGGAAGTCTTGAGTAACTGTGTATAACGCTCGTCTTCACACAAAAATGTGGCTGAGTTATCACTAACTTTAAAAGCAGACAGGAGACTTGATTACGATCTTGAGGTGGGACAACTTTGTAATTAAAATGTAAGTACTAAATATCTCACGAGCTGGCTTTAAACCACGAGTTGGTGGCCTTTCAAGGGTGATACATGCTGCCAGATTGCTCACAAGCAGTTTTGTTCTTGTCTAAGGCTCGTTGCAAATGATCTCCTTTTATTTGTTGTTAAGATATTGGGCTAATTCAAGAGATTTTTCTCCTAATTCTCACTAACTGGTGAACTCACATGGACTTTGGTGAGAGTTTGCATGAATAAGTACTGGGTGGATCATCTATGTTTCGAGGAACAAAGGGCAAATGCATAAAAATAGGGGAAGAATTTATTTTTAAGGGACAGGAGCACATAATCTGCTAGTGGGTCAAAAATCAGAAATAACACAGAAATGTTAGGTATGTAGCAGCAATCTGCTTGGCTCTGTACAGACATATGGGCTTAGCAATTTGTTTATATCACCGCAAAGTTTTACTATTATAATTTATTATTATTATTTGTATTATCATAGCTCCTAGGATTACTAGCCAATGAGAAGGATCTTTTTTTGCTAGTGTAGGTGCTGTACAAGTACTGAAGAAGAAGAAAGATTATTCCTATCTGAAAGAACAATCTGGTTTTGGCAACACAAATAGGTTTGATAGTAATGTGGGAAATAAAACACTAGGCATGAAATAAGAGGCTGTGCTTTTAAGATACAGAGCAGATACTGTCAGCTGTAACAGGCCCTGATTCAGCAAAACACTTAAGCAACGGGCTTAACTTTTAGTACGTGCTTAAATTCATCCCTAGGACTAAGAATCTTGATAGTTGACGTGTTGTCTAATCCATTTTACTGCAGAAGAAGACAATTAAAAAGGGATTGGAAGCACTGGGTACAGCTCGCTGTAAACTTGATATAAAACGCCGCGTAGACTGCCTTGATCTATCCAGTTCTAATCGTTGTTGATTTTATTGAAAAAAAGAGCCCGAGGTGACAGCAAGCGGGCGCGGGGCTCCGGTGAGCTGTGGCGAAAGCCAGCCGGGAGCTCGCTCAGAGAAGGGGCAGGGAGCTGGCTTGCAGTGGGACAGCCCCCCTAAGAAACGCTGAGTTACTTGCACTGTTGGGGGACAAAGCAAACGCTGCTTCTGTGCGGGGCACTAAGGGGCGGGGTTTGGCTGGGCCCCGGGCGGTGCAGGCAGCGGAGCAGAGCGGGCCTGGCGCGGCCGGGGGAGCGGGGCAAGGCCTGTGCCTCAG